GCAAATCGAACCGTTTCGGACGCGATTGCGGTGCATGGAACGAATCCCCAATATCTAATTGAAAAGATAATCAGGACTAGAATTTACGAATCTCTTTACTGGAAGGAGTCATGTTTTGGTTTAACAGGTAATAAAGTAAAATATAAAGTGAAATTCAAATAAGAAGTCCTGGGAGTAATAATTCATCTACCCACACAGCTGAAACTTTAGTTGATCGAGCAAACGACTTAACCTCTTTTGGAGGTCAATATGGTAATCAGAAACCAACCGAATTTCTTTGTTTGACTTTGAAGTTGCTTCAATTACAGCCAACTAAGGAAATTATATTGGAATTTATTCGGAATGAGGACTTCAAGTAAGTTTTGGGTGCACAGATACTACATTTTTAGAGAAATTCTTTGACGCTAACGTGTAAATCGATCCATTCCTCTCCCAAGGTATTTGAGAGCTCTTGGCGCGTTCTACCTGAGACTCGTGGGAACATCGTTGGAAATTTATCAAAACCTAGAACCACTGCTGAATGACTATCGAAAGTTGCGGAAGCGGACAATAGGTGGGAGAATTCTGATTTTCATTTAACTTAATCATCCTTCAATCAAAATTGAGATCACTTCTTAACCACCGTTGGATCGTTGAATCCATAATTTATCAAGATGGAGAATTTGCGATAGTGTGCATGGATGAATTTATTGACGAACTATTACGTGAAGATCGGGTATGTGACACCATATTGCCGAGAATTATAAAACGGCACGTGTTAGAGGAAAATAAAGAATTGAAGCCACGAGAGAGCGTTCTTGAAGCGCTTTTAGACGATGAGGATATGGATACTTCTACTCATGAGGAAGATTTAACATCTGGAATTTATGAAGGGAAACAACCTACTAATTCGGAAACAAGCAGAGAAAAAGATAAAAGTAAGAATAAAAGTAGCTCTGGGAGTGAAGAATCAAGAAGTAGGTCTAGAACTCCCAGAGGAACGGACCGGTGTAAGTAAAGATGACTATTCTCGATTCTTGTATTTATACTGGAAGTTTAACGCTCATATCCATTAATTTTTACGCAGATGTACCTTCCAACCGTAGACGACAACACTCTCGTTCTAGGTCAAAATCACGATCTCGATCAAGAATAAGATCTAGATCTCGATCCCGTTCTCGATCTCGTTCTCGAGCTCGATCGCGTTCAGGAAATAAAGGTTATGACCGATATGAACCAACATATCGTAAAAAGTATTCAAGTAGGGACAGATACACAGCGTCTTCATATCGTCCCAGTCATCGCAAAAGATCACGTTCTAGGAGTAATAGTAAATAGATAGAAAAAATAATAGCAATAAGAAGTTTCGTCTTTGAAATATGCATTTTATTAAAAGATGTTATTGGTGAAATGTCACATAAATATAATGAGGTTACCAAATTAATAGTAATAATAAATTATAAGTGGTCAAATAGAAATCATTACAATGCAAGATTTATAACTAGAAGCGTGCATAAGGTTTGTTCCTTCTAAATAAATACATTTAAAATTCTTCCGAGTGAACTAACTATGATTAATCTTGACTGGTTAAGGTCACAATTAATTCGCTTAAAGGTTGCAACTCTTTCTTTTCTATTAGCTGAAACTCCTGGACAAAATAAATAAAATGTTTAAAGCTGGTATTCAAATGAGCTTCCTCGCCCAACGCAGTGATGACAGAAAAATGGGATAGGTATATGTGCGCGTAAACCCGAAATAACCTTTTGAATATTACTTTGACGGAAGATTGGAAGTTTTTGGGAAATGGAACTCCTATGATAAAACGTTTAATTTAAACAATATATTAACGATCTGCTATTTGTTAAACTAACATGAATTTATGCATAAGTAAAATTTCAGTGCACCTATTTTACTTGGGAACAAGCTTTCGTCATCAAGTTGCTCTTGTATCCATTCCATTAAATGGCTTACGTATTCTGGTGCTGGTAATTTTACGGGTTTCTTATTTTTTTCATTATCAGACCAGAGATATTCAAACCTAAAAGAAATTCAATTAGTTTACATTAAACTGTTGGAAGATAAATAAGAAACCTACTTCGGACCGGCCGACATTATAGGACATTCTTGTGGGGTACAGAATTCGGCAATTGTACCATAAAGCATGTTAATTTGGTTAAAGAAGTCGTATGCTATGATTTGTAAAAGAACAGGTTTGGTAGAACATCCTTTACAACGTCAACTGAGTTCGTGACGACTCTTACTATTAACGGCTAACCATTCGTTGATGTTCTCTCCTTCAGGCAAGACTACAGCTAATTTCAGGTTCCCTGAGCCAAGGATAGCTTTTGAATATTCTTGAAGTTGGTATTGCTTAGTTCCTTCGGGCACATTTTTCTTTGGTTTGACAGACCTACTTTTTGTAGTTCTGACGAAAAGGAAAATTTATTTTCGCGTTTCTCTCCCAAAAAAGATACTCGAAAATAATGAAAATACCTACAGTCCTAAAAAATTCATCTCTGTGAAAAGGTTTGAAGAGGCAACAAAAAAAGGAGTAGGAGTTTGCTTGTCTTTTTAACACGTCCCTTAAATCCTCATATATCTCCTTGACACGACGTGACACAATGTTCCTCTTACACGTGATAGGACAAAACCTG